ACCAGCTGTGCTGCCAGAGCCAGCACATCACGCCACTGCACGCTGGAGCATCTACGCTGAAGGATGCAGGTTGCTGGCATTTATCCCAGTGAGGCAGTAAGTGAAAGCTAATGTGAAGTTAAAGGTTAACTTTAAGTAGTAATTTGCCACTATTTTTTTTTTATAGCAGAAGCATCCTGCTAATCTCTTAACCGCCTGCGATCCCTCAGCTGCCCCTGCAGCTCTGCCTAAAATAGAAAAATTAAAGCTCGCAAAAGGCTGGATTTGGGAAGAACCGGGCCTTGGGGCACCACTGATGGGGGATTTTTGGTTTGAATATGTAAAGGACAAGAGCTCTTTAAAACATTTGCATTCCGACAATATAATTTCTGTTCCCCTCTAACTGTTTCATTCTGAGTCCTTAGTAATTTTTTTTTTTTTAATTTAGAGATCGTTAGGCTTATGAATCTTTACCTCTTTCATAGCCCTGATCCCATCCCTTAGAGTTGGTGTAGCCCTGTGTTTTTAGCTGAAGATGAACCTACATGATGATCATATCAAGGAGAACCCTTGTAGTCTGGGGGCATCTCTTAAACAGCCAAGAATTTCATCAACATTGCTCAACTCTCTAGAGCAGCAGAGAGACTCTAAAACTGATGTAAAATTTCTTTGCTTGTGCTGAAGCCGGTTCCCTTTCCACTTGCGCATTGGGAGTAAGTGAAAGCAAAGAGTTTTGTGCCCCGAGTTCATCTTTCAGTGGTGTGATGATGGGGATTGTGCCCTCGCTGGTCATGGGCTTTATCTGGGCGAGAGCATTGGCCGCAGGAGTTTTGTGGTGATGCCTCTGTGTGAGAAGACAGGAGCTTGCTCTGACTCTGATCCGGGGTGCTTTGCACTGCTGGCAGTTAGAAGAAAATGCACTCATGAGTGGATCAAATTTGACGCTGAGTTGTGTAGTCAGTCCTTTCAATGAAACAGAAAGGTTAACGGTGCCACCTCTACGCAGGCACTTTCCAGAGCAAAACTGTGTGTTAACTGTAAATTTCCTGATTTGCAAACACCTCTGTGGCCACAGGGTTGTGTTTAATAGATGAACATTATTGGAGCGGTATGTTTTTTTCAACCTTTGCTCTGCTTCAGTGAGTATTTTAATTTTTTTCCCCTTCTGAAGAAGCTAATATGTAAAAATGGGAATAAAATCAAGTATTCTGAAACGGCTGAGCTTCTGAGCATTTTTGTGTGTGTGTGTGTGAGTGAATGTGACTTCTGGAAGAAAAACCCAAATGAAATGTGGCAGGCAAACTGGAATTAAAGAAAACTAGTAATAAATAACTCTTGATTAAAGTGTAGGTTATGGGAGTATATGAAAAACACAGACATTACACAATTCAAAATCATATCCTGGTAACATGCTTCAGAAATAACTGACTAATGAATGTCTCAAATTGCTGCCAGACTTCTTTGAAAAGTCATGGAAAACTAGGAGAGAGATAAAAATGTGACATCTGGAACCAAATTACAATTTCTCATACAAAGCAGAAGAGTTGCAAAAGAAAAAGCCACTCTGTGTCCAAGATGAAGCCTTCGGTGAGGGGAGCCCACACATGGCTGCTCGTTTGCTCCTGATAAATGCAGCAGCTCCTGGTGTAAATGGATGAGCAGACCCTCCTGTAATACCTCTGGGCAGGATTTCTAGCCTCACATCTTCTGCAGGTGTCAGGAAAAGGATGAGTGTGAGCATAAAGATGCTGGTTGTAATTTTTTCCCTCTACTGAACCTTTTTCAGTTCTACTATATTCCTTGCTTGATTCAGTGGAAAAATATAACCTGCCATTTTATTACCCAGTCACTCAGTCCTCTCTGGTCTTTTTGCAGTTCCTCATGATCAGCCATTATCTGTAACACACTGAATTACTGAGTTATGATCAGCAGAATTTGCCATTTCACCGCTCATTTCCCTTTCAGATACTTTGAGCTTATTTTGAGGAGCCCAAATCCCAGCAGAACTTCCTGGGGACTTTCTTACATCAAAGAACCGTCTCTTTATTCCTTTCTTCTGCTTATTTATCCATGCCAAAGCCTTCCTCTCTCATGCTGTAGCAGCTTAGTTTCCTTAAAATCCTTTAGTGAGGGTGTTGCAAAACCATTTTGGAAATCCAGGTAGCCTGACGCATCTGCAGGTCAGATCTTCCTTACCCACATGGTTGTTGACTCCTCTGGAGAGCTTGGATGGGTTCGTGAAGCAGGAGGGGAGAAGTTGCGTTGACTTTTCCCAAGCGTAGAAGTGATGCTGCTTAAAGATGACATTTTTCTTTATTCTTACTAATTTGTCCTTGTGACTCATCGCTCTTCGTTTTGTCTGTTTACTCCCTAACTTCTTGTCTCTTCCACGAGACAATCTGAACTCGGAGGCTTGGGCTGGTTTTTTTGTGTCCCCCATGCAGAGCGTGGTGTCAGCGTGGGAATCTTTCCAGCTTCTTCCCTGGCATCTGCAGACGCAATAAATTCATTTAGCCTTATCCTCGCCAAGTCTTGCTTTTTATTCCCGTATCGTGTACGTACTGTCTGGCAGGCTTCCTGCTCTTGCAGAGCCTGAGGAAGATAACCAGTAGTTTTGATGCCTCTTGCTAGCTGTGCCCCAAACTCTTCTGTCTTACGTTAGCATATTTTTGGTCCCCACTGAGCCTTTCACGTAACAAGGGAGGTGATGGGAGCTCCCTGCTCCTCTGCCATAGCCTGTAGCATCCCCAGGCAGCAGCACCTGGGCATGGAGCCCATTAAATATCAGGCAGTTTTGGCATATTTTAGATCCAGCACAAGCACACGCAGCAGAGAAAATTCATGTTTTTAACGTGTGCTGATTGCCAGGGTGCCAAGGGTGCCTTTGGAGGCAGCGGGTATGGCATACTGGGGAGGAAGAGGTGAGCCTCAAACTATCTCTTTGCTGCCTTAAAATTGAAACTAAATTGGCTTTGACAAGGCAGGATCTGGGGAGAAAATGTTTCTCGCTAAGCTGCAAAGGTGCTTTCAACTTGTGTTTGTGCTGACTCTGCTTTAAATACTAGGCAGGATCAAAGTGAGAGGAGTCTTGTTTTAACAACACCAAAAAGTTAAATTTCCCATTGCAAATCGAAACCCAGTTAGAAAAAAATGCCCTAAAAGACATTAAAACTGCCCTGAACATTAATTTCTTCTTGTAGCTCTTATTTGGAGATTTGAGAGAGCTTTGGAGAATTTACGGTCCTGCTTAATTCCTCCCAGAAAGGTCCTGGGGGCATTTCTATTTCTCCTTTTCCCATTCCCATTTGTATTTCATGGGCTCAAACCATGGCTCAGTAGCATTGTTGTTCTTTGCTGAAATTAGGGGGCTTCTCCAGCATTTGGGGAAGGGCTGAAATACTCTTGAGTTTATTTGAATTGGATTTGGCTGCATGCGTGAGTCCTACAATACAGTTTCTTCCACCCATTTCTCTCTTTCCCAGGGAAACCTTTTCTCCTCTAAACTTAAGTTGCAACACGTCTCAAATCATGTGTCCAAGGCTTTTGATGTGTTTGGCAATTTCTGCCTCCTTCAAGAGCCTGATTTTTTATTTCTGCCCCCCTGCTTCTGGATTTGTTATAGCTTTGCATTTTATTATAAATTATTTTTTCTATTACCTGCAGTGTTTTTGACAATTCCTTGATGGTTGTTGTATAGTGGAGCATCACAGAGATGCTGCATGAAATAGCAGTGGTGTAGAAAATGGAGTTGGCCGTTGGTTTTATTTTATTTTTGTGTCAGATTTAGGGGCTTCTGTCTCAGGTTTCTACCCTGGTTGCCAGCAGTGAAGTCTGCAAGACTTGGTTTGGTCCATCTGTGCAGGCACATGATACTTTAAAAGCTTTGTTTGACCGTGTAGATATGCCCTCTGGTACAACTTCTCACCATCTCTGATCTAATGAGTCCCATAACCTCTTTTAACTGTAGCGGATGAAATGATGTAGTTAAATTACTTGATTTGATAATCCATAATTATCTGCTTGCTGTAGTTCATTCTTAAGCTAGAGTTAGGAGCAGAGGAGTCATTTTGCGTGGGTTTATTAGTGACAGAAGAGAGTTTCAGCTTCTGGTGGGCTCAAGGCTGGAGGGCTGATACCTACTCCAGCTCTACTCCTGCTTAGGCATCAGGTAATGTGCATTCTACAGAGGATGAGAAGCTGCTCCTGGGCTTTGAAGGAATACAGCAGAGTCAAGACACCTGTGAAAGGGAGCAGGGGTTTGACAGCTGTTGAAACTGGGATGATACATCCACATAAAAAACTTTACATATCAAGTAAATTATGCTGCTTCTGCAAAGTGGTATTGATAGTAAGTGTGGGCCTTCTCAGGGTGGAGGAAAAAAATGGATTTCATAAAGGGTGCAGAAACAGGGAGAGAAAGAGTCTTTGCATCATTTCTAGTTATCAAGTTTCTGTAAGAGTATCATAGCACCACATGCTTTGTGGTCTTTGAAAGTTCAGATTTCATCTGGTCCAAAGAAATTTTGCAAGAGACACAACTGTGGGTCTGGTGGGGAAGGCTGCTGTGTGTGAGGACTGCACTGGATTCAGCAGTAAAGGTTTTGATTTGGGATATAATGGAGTTTCCTGCTTTTTGGGTGTGATTTTGGTGCAGGGTGAATGCTTGTTGAGAAAAGTGCTTTCCTTCTCAAGTGCCTTAATGCTGAAATGAAGGCAGTGACCAAGCAGAACATCTTGAGAGCTAAGAGGTGAAAGATTCTGTTTTCCTTTTTTAGGGGAAAAAAAAATAAGCCACAGAGGACATGGTTTAAGAATAGATACTGTCATAGGGAATGGCTAATTGTGGAAGTTGTTAGGGTGGTTGTGGAAAAAGATGATAAGGAACCTAGCTGAAGATCTTCGTAGAGTTAATGCTCATACTAAAGGAATATGCTGGAACTTCCTCTAAACCTGAAAGTTTTCTAGGGTTGAATTAGGGGGAAATAGAGAATAACTAACTAGTGTAACCTTTCTTTCGTCAGACGTGTCAAGTGTGCCAGATGATGCTGCCCAACCAGTGCAGTTACTGCGCTCACCAGAGGATCCATGCTCACAAGTCTCCGTACTGCTGCCCGGAGTGCGGAGCCGTCTGCCGCTCCGCCTATTTCCAAACTCACGTCAAGGAGAACTGCCTGCATTACTCCCGCAAAGTCGGATTCAGGTTTGTGCAGCTCCAGAGGGTCCATGCTGAGACAGCAAGAGGGAATGGGAAACTTGGATTTAGATCTTTGGAAATGCGTCTTCCTTTACAGCAGAAATTAAAGAGGATGTAGCCTGGGCCTGGCATGGTTTTCTGTGACAAAACACATTTGAAATGGGGAATTACTAAATGGATTTAAGAGGAGGTTTCTGAAAGCAGAAATTATTTTGAGGCAGCTTTAAGCTGAAAGACACTTGTATTGAATTCAAGTTGCAGACATCTCAGGATTGATATTTATGGCAAAAAGATTGCAGTTCTTAATCCTCTAAATCTCTCTAAGGTTTGAACTTGTATTTATGTAAGTTGTAATGGACTGAGGGATCTGTGTCTTCAGGAGAAGGGCATAGATTATTTTCTTGTATGCCCCTAGAACTCTCCAAATACTTCTCACGACTGAGACAGATGGAGGAAGGCTCCCAAGGTTCTGGATACAGTGGTGTGTATGTGTGTGTCGCCTTTTCTCCACACAAATTTATTGCTTTAATAAAAGATGTTACTTTTACATTACTGTTTTAGATCATTACTGTTTAGTAATTACATTACTGTTTAGATCACCTCAGCTGCAGCACAGGTCTTAAGACACAGATGATTTGCTCGGGAGATGAAACTAGGTAACCTTTTAAGATTCCTTAAAGTTCTTTTTTTTCTCTGATTGCCATTAAGTACTTTGAATTTAAAATGAATAGGGCAATTCCTGTTCCTGGAGCTGTTCTTTTAAGATGTCTGAAAATTCAGGAAGCCTCCACTCTGTGGTTTGTTCTGAAATCACACTTAGGTTTTCAAGGTCTTTTTCTTTCAACCATGAAGACAAGAGACATGTAATGAACCAATTCTGAATTTAATTATATACAGATAAAGGTTTTTTTATGTGGGATTTGATTTGAGGGGGCACAGCCCACAACAAAGAATTAATTCCATTGCAAATTAAATGGCTGTGATACTCAGGCTGTTTGAAAATGAGTTAATCTGAGAGAAGGAGGAAAGCTGGAAAAAAAATGTTTTCCCTGAGATGGAAAAATGGCAATGGAGGAGAGGTCAGAAAACTAACCACAGGTTTGGTGTAGTTCTTCGGACTTCACTGGCACCTCAGAATCCCAAATGCAGGCGCAGTTTCATTGCACTGAGCTGCTTGTGCAGCATCCCCATCCTCACTGATGCCTCGATCAATAATGCGTCACAGGGTCATGCTGGCCTGAGCTGCGTTATATAGGAAGCTCAGTCTTTTAGTAGTGATCACTGCAAGACCTTGCTCCTCTGTTTCCAACTGATGGGCTTGCAGTGTACAGCAGAGCTTGGTCCTGACTCTTAAGTGTATGACCTGGCATTTTTAAAAAACATTATTCATTCCAGATGTATTACAGTAATATCTTTATGATGCCTTAATCCTTGTCAGCAATGAGAGCTTCCATCCATCTACAGATGTCATTAGCAAATATCTGCTTTCTGTGCCAGGGACATTAATGAAGATCTAAATCAAGACAAGAGCTCAAGAATGATACTTACGGATTTTTTAGCTTTGCCCAGCTTCTTTAGAAGCTAATTTTCTTTAACTTCTCTAATTTGCATCTGTGCAAGCTCATCTGTGAAAACTGAGTCCATCAGACAGGCGAACTTCTGGATTTGCCATCCTTGTTATCCTGCCTGTCTCTGCTGTGGGGCTGATGTCATCGTTGAAAACAGAAGAAATAAATTTTAGTTGCAGAACCCTATCTAGATAATCTGTGGCATCTGCCCTGTGGTCACGTAGTGACTTCTCTTCTTTCACTTTTGTTACTCGCAGAGCTGAAAAGCGAAGGAGTTCTTTTAAATCCTTCCCAGGATCAGCTTGACTTCTGCTGCTTCTTACTATGTCCCTGGTTTTCTTGAATTTCTGATGCATAGATTTGGTTTTGTTTTTGTGATCAGTCCTTATTCTGTCTCCTTTTCTGCTGATACCCCAATGCATTTAATTAAGTTGGGAGTAAGATTGTTTTATTTGGATTTTAGTCATGGCTAGTGATTACACTGAAAATGAGAAAAGTCTTCTGTAGTTAAAAATTAAAATCAACAAGCCTGTCCTAAATATTCCGTTCCACTTGGCTCCAGGTGTCACCTCCCCACCTTTTCCAAGCACCTTCCAGCTGTCCCCAGTGATGTGGGACCCGTTTTCCTGCTCAGTGCCGTCTGGAGGGTTGAGGGGCTGAAAGGTGACAGCAAAGGAAGTGTTCAGAGGGTTAAGACAACATCTTGTAGCTTTATCTTCTCTCTCAGGACGCTTTCCAAGACTTTTACGCCACCCCTCTTTGCCCTGAGGCTATCCGAGAGTCTTCGCTTGCAAATTATTCCCCCGTGCTGGGGAGATGATAGCAGAATTTGCAATTTGCAGAAATTACATGGCAAGCCTCTGACATCCTCCATCCACTTTGTTCTGCTAATTAGTTTACTTTATCAAACTTCATCCTTCTGGCACTGGGATTCTTGATTACAAAGTGGCTGTTGTTTAAATTTCCATTTACTGTAAATTAAATTAACTCATGATCATTTGACCCTGAGTTAGTACTTATTTCATCCTTAATTCTACATGAAGTACTTAACGAAAACTGAATGTACTGCAGAACCATGTCTTGTTAGTTTGAGGAGTGTTTGTGAAAGAAGCCGTCGGATATTCCTGGCTGTACCAGACAGACCTTACTGTCAGGATTAGCATTTGTTCTTCCATTTATACTTGGGAATTTATTCTTCTAGAATAACACAGTTCCTGGTGTTACTATAATAGAAAGTCTCTCTCCCAGTCTCACGTGAATGAGGATCAGGCTCGAAGGCAGAGCTACCCAAGCAGAATTTTCATGCTTCCCCAAAAATGACACCAGCTGTTATCACTGCTTCCCTCTCTAAATTTAAGAAAACAGCATTTCTGTGTATAGTTTGAGGGAGAGGGTTAGGCTCCTTCAGGCTGGCTTCTGCCTAGCGGTCTTTTGAAGTGTAACTTCAAAGCATGGGCTTGTTTCCTAAACGCTGTTGGGAGGCTCGTTTGGAGGGAAGGATAATCTAGCAGCTTGTTTGTTTTTGATATGAGCCTGGAGTTCTTCCAGTTGCTCGATAGCTGGGGTCCATCTGCGACAGCAGCATCCGTGCCGCAGCACTGCCAAATGCACAAACCCTAATAGCACCACGGGCAAATGGCAGACCTTAGAAAAAAGGAAAAAGATATTTATAAGGCAGCTTAACTGCAGGCTCACCAGAGGAAGTTATGCCTGGTGTGTATCTTGCATCCTACTACGGCAAGCATTGGCCCTCTGGATTGCCTAGCCACGCTGCCCCGCTGTAACGATCTGTGTGTGCAGCGCTGGCTTAAGAGAGATCCGCCGTTAGTCATTTTGATTGACTCTCCTTAGGAGAGGCTATTCTGGTCCTGGATTAGTGTAGGTGCTCCTGTGGGGATGGTAAACGCTGCGGCTGGTGTGGCTGAGGCAGGCGAGAGCAGGTATCTGCATCCTCATGTGTCCGTGTAGTGTTGGTGTGTGGCTTCTCTCCAAGCACAGGAGGCGGGTGGGTGCTTGGGAGGCGTATTAAAGGTAAATATAGTAAGGCTGCCGGTTGTTGCCATCCTGGGGGAGTATCGGGCAAGGCCTGTCGCCGGCATGCGTTGGGAGGAGAGGCAGACTGAGACCGGTGGGGTGACCCTGACTCTTTTCCTGGCCCTGGGTCTATGCTTTTAGCTGCCCAGAAGAATCCTTTGGCTCCACGTGCAACCTCTCTTTCTTCCTCTTTCTCCTCCCAGAACATCCCCCAGCTCCCAGACAAGCACTTTCCAGGCAACACCTGTGTCATAATGATTTTAATGAGCTTAATCAGTTCCTTGGGTGTTTCTGTATCTTTGCTGTTGCTGTCATTATTTTCTAGTGCTTAGTGAAGTCTGAGAAGCAATTGTACAGGGTTACTGAAGATTTCCTAGCTGAATATTCTTTTCCTGTTTATTTTGTATTGGGGACTAACTGGCATTTATGCTGCTTATTTCTACCTAGAGATCTCATCAGATACTTTTACTTTAGTTCCTCACTTGTACATGTGGTGGAACTGGCTTTCACAGCTACAGTACTGGCATTTTGCTGAACCACATCTTCCTTTATTCTTTCTGGGTTGTTTTAGTCTCTGAAGGCTTCTTTTATAGATCTTGTTTACTTGTCGCTAACACGTGACACGTGTTGGAAGCAACACTGTGGCTGTAACTCAGCTCGCTCTTTGTGCATCCCCCAGGTGCATCCATTGTGGAGTTGTCTTCATGACCCTCGCCATGCTGAAAGTGCACATCCACGAGAAACACTGCGAAGTCTTCCACAAGTGTTCTTTTTGCCCGATGGCCTTCAAGTCAGCCGACAACACCACAGCTCACATGACCAGCCAGCACCCAGCAGAGCCTCACAAGACTACTCAGTAAGTATTTTGGGTTTATCTCTTCTTCTCCTTTGCTGGGTAGCTCCAGGATTCCCCCCTTCCCTCACAATTTTTTTCTGTTTCTGGTTTCTGTCCTTGCATGAGAAGAGCTGCCGCTTTGTCAGCCGGCAGGGGTCCATTCCTAGCCGCAGCGTGCTGTCCTTTGTATGAATTTGGTCTCCTGGGTATGAGAAGAGGACTTTGGGCAGGGAAGAGCTGAACATCCAAGAATCTTAATGGTTGCCTCTTTGTCTGGCAGGACCCACAGTGGCACCTGTTGGCAGATGGCTCCAGGGCAACTTCTGCATCTGGCACCCGGAAAGGGAGAGGAGGGTTATGCCATGCAGCGTTGCCCCCAAAAATCACTAAGGAGAAACCTCCTGGCTTTTCCACTCTGTAGCTTTCCCCTCCAAGCCTTGAGCTACTGCCGAAAATGTGTGCTTTAAGGGAGGAACTATGGAAAGGTGGGGTTGAAAGTAACACGTAGCTAGTATACTTTGAGTTTGCTCCCATCTGTCTGCACTTACTGGCACACACACACACGTAGGTAGTTACACATATGCATAGAAGTAAACTTATTTTTAGAAAGCTGTGGTATGTGCCTGAGGCATTTTGTTGTTCTTCCCAGTTGAGTTAGTGGTTCAGCTGTCCACGTGGGTGTGTGTTGACAATACATTGAGAGCACAGCCCTCCCCAGAAGCCCATCCCTTTCTGAAGTTGCTGACATAACTTTTTCCACTGTCTTCTTAAGATAAGTAACGAAGAGAGACTGAGTTTACTTTTTTTAATTGTTCCAGGGTGATCTACAAATGCTCTTGCGAGACTGTCTTTAACAAGAAGAAGCTGCTCCAAGAGCACTTCCAGCAGAACACCAACAAGTTGTTAGTGGGAGTGTTTAAGTGCCCGCAGTGTCAGCTGGTGTATATGCAGAAACAGCAGTTAATGCAGCATGTTAAGGTAGGTAACTCCCACCAAATACTGATGTGAGGTCCTACTTTTTGAGTTACACAGAGAGTTTACATCAACTGTGTGAGGAAATTGGTTGAAGAAGTGGAAGGTTCTTGAGCAAGACATTAGTGGAAAAATAGACTACAATGATTTACAGCATTATCTGGAAACATCAGTGGAGCATTTTGTGTTAGCTGATAATAATGCAGGCAGTTACTCTCATCTGTATGTAATTTTACCTTATGACAAAGGCTTGTTTTCGACGGATAAATCTTTTTGATTTTTAACTGTTCTATGTTAAACCCAAGGAAGTGATTAAACCAGAGCGGGAGCTTTATCTTTGGTTGGCAGATAGGGAGAAGTATTCTTTGCCCACAATGTTACTCAATTTATATAATGAAAGCTGAAACTCCCTCTTTTGAGTGCTCACCTAGAGAGCTTTGGCCCCTTTGCAGCTGCCTCAGAGAGAGGCTGCATGGGATTTTACACCCCTCTTCCCTGGCTGCTCCACTGCCTGCAGAACCACACCAGAGTGCAAGAGGGGAATGACAGAGGCAGAAGTGATTGGCTTGGAGATACCAGCCTTCAGGAGGTGGGACCCCCACCTCGTGTGCCTCCACGCTGGCACCACTCAGGCTGCTCCAGAAGGTGGTCTGAAATGGGTAGTTGTGCAACCCCAGAACTTGGTGGAAATGGTGGTCCAGAGAGTCCTTCGAACCTGTCCTCCCTCAGTAATGGCTCGTATTGCAATAAGCACTACAATACTCTGTCATTCATCACTCTTTTTATACATGTGAAAAGCTTGATATTGTCCGTTTGGTGGTGGTTTCTGGCAGGATGCATGTGAGGACTTGCAGATCTGATTATCCCATGAATGTGTGAGCGCCGCATTTTTCTGTTGTCTTAGTCAGTATGTTTCTATGTACAGTGTCTAACAACACTGCCGTGGAAATCCTTTCGGAAGATTTCTTGATGGCATTCTGAAGAAAGAGCTTGCAAAGTCTTCTTTCCCCTTGATTAGAAAAAAGTGACATAATTTTTTTAATGAGTGACTTTATTTTGTTTATACTTACACTTAAAAAGCAAGAAGATTAGTTAGCTTACTCTAAAACAAAAACCATTCAAACCTACTTCTTTGCTTTCTCCCCCATGCCTTTAACTTGCAAATCTGGAAATGCTTTGCATGCAGTAATGAATTAAAATTTGAAGCCCTCCTGTGAAGTTGATGATTGCTAATCTTCCTGTATTATAGCTAGGAAAATAGAGTTGAGATTAAGGCTGGGACCTTCAAAGAGGCATTCCAGCCCAATGCTAAAAGAAGGGCTTGAGTTGAGGTACACAACTTAATGCAGCTCATTTGCAAATCCCACCCCCAGGGACCTGCCTGCAGCAGTTTGTGCACCAGCACCCTGACATCTCCACTACAAATCTTTTGTCCTTTAACCATGAGGCTGTTTTTGGCCATCAACAGGTCTTTGAGATGGTAATTGAAGAAGGCTTTTTGGCTGTGGCAGGATAATAATTGCACTAACCCATCTCCTCTCTTATCAAATCCCGCTCCTTTATGCAATACAGAGTTTATAGGAGGTGCTGTCTAATTTGCTCCTCCACGCAAAATAAAGAAACCTTCTCATCTTCCCTGGCATTCTGTTGTTAAAGCGTAAGAGTAGGAGTTATAAGGTCCGGTTCCTGTTACTGACACTGCAGAGAAGTCAGTTCATTTTTCTATGCTCCTTGTTTTTTTCCCCTCCAGTGGCATAATAGCAGGAGGAATGGAGTGGTGGGTACTAATGTACTCTTCGCTCATGAAACACCCTTGAGATTTCCGGATGGAGAGAAAGGTGAAGTGTTCGTGTTACCCTAAATAGCTGACAATGCTGTGGAGCAGCTGTCATTGCCCTGCCATTTGCATGAAAGAGCTTCTGCGGACATCAGCTGGATCAGGTGCAAAGCACACAGGCTTCTCAGATGAGACCTTCTGTTTTGAAGTTTGTTTGGTGTCTAACCCACAGAAAGACTTCCAAAGGCCTGGGGCCTTCGTGTGTTGAAACTTTACCCGTTATTAATTATTGTGCACAATTAAACTTCTAAATTACCCTTTTGTGTGGATGAACTGTTGTTGTTCCTAGGGGAGTTTCTTGAGGTTTCTTTGGTATGTTGCTATTTTATTTGCTTTTGCTTTCCCACAGCTCTTCGTTTCTGGATTATTTTCCTTATGTTCAATTTTCTTTGTTAAAATAACTTTTTGGGGGACTTTAGATTTTGGCCTGTTGAACAACCAGAGAGCCTGGGGATGTATTCCTTAAAAGGCTGCTTTCTGGCTTTATGCTTGCTTTTATTTGTCAAGAGCAAAGTTTTGAACAGTGAAAACGTAAATAGCAATAGGCATTGTGGAATTGAGGAAAGTAGGGTTGGAGAAAATGAAATGAAAGGTTGTCTCTTCCTGTCACTTGAGCAAAAATGAAGCAGCTTTGGAGCCCCCAAGATAACAGCAAACATTTAATTCCGAGCTTACCAAAGCAATGTGTTTTTAGAGCTTAGGCTCTTGAAATAATGACAATTAACATTTCTCTTCCATTACATCTTCCCTGTTTAACCAGAATTCTCAGAGCTCATCCAAAATGTTAAACAGGAAGCACCAAGGAGCTGCTGTTGTCACGCAGGAAACATAAATAGAAGCTTCATGTTTCTTGGGAAAATCTCTTGCTGTAGAAAGCACTAGAGCCGGCTTCAAGTGGAAATGGGAAGATATGTAGGAGCAAGACATCAACATACTGGTTTAGGGGGCAGGAGCTTAAATAAGTGTTATTTATTTATAAATAAAGGTGTATAATATGAATTACATATAAATGTTATGTGTGATTCCATTATTATCGTTATCCAGGGAGTTCATGGAGTTCCCCAAAATCCCGAGGAGCTCTCGAACTTCCGACAAAAGTCTGAGAAGGCATCAAGGAACCAGGTTCATACCCCACCAAAGGAGCTGTCGGTCAATGGGACTTCCCACTCCTCTCTGCTGAGGAAGGACATGAGGGTGGAAGGGTACAATCCCGAATCCAAGTCCAGGCTGAGAAGAACTGGTTGGACTTGCAAGGAGTGTTCACAGTGGATCCCTGACCGGGAAACCTATGTGTCCCACATGAAGAGAAGTCATGGAAGGGTAAGGACTCAGATGAAACACTTCAGCTAGGTAACAAGATATTTTTAACAAAAGAATCTGATAATCAGTAATATTTGGGGCAAAAAGAAACTGAGAATCTGTTTGACAGCTCTCTGAGGAGTAAGTTCAGGGCCAGAATAAAAAAAAAAAATTACGTAGACAAGCACACTTTCTGTCCTTGATCCTCTACAACCTGCATACCTCATCCTCTTTGCTGTTCCTTCTCACACTGCATCTAAAGTCAGGCTTCCTCTTCAGCTCACCTGGGTGAGTGGATGGAAAGTCGTGTCTTCTCCAGTTGCTGGTTCAACAGTCTGATCTAAACTATCTATACTCAAAGTTACAGAAGGACATACAGTTCCTCTCCATGATGTTGTATTGTTTGGTAGTTATCACTACATCTAACTGGGGAAGAATAACAGACTCGTGCAGTGCGCAGAGCTATCAATGTAAGAACTGTAAATCTCAATTTTGTTGGTTTCATCCAGCTCAAGACTTGTGTTGCCTTGACCTACTTCTGTCAAGCTAATCCTTGCTCGCTGGCAGAACATAGGCCAAGATCTTGTGTGCAGCCAGATTTCTTAGTACTTTGGCATCAGGACTTCTTGTTCAATGTAGAGTCATCCTTCTTGAGTCCCATGAGCAGAAGCTGTGGAAATCTGGACCATCATCTTTAATTCCTTCCAGCTTGACTTGGGGAGTGCTAGATTGTCCCAGTTGATAAGTATCAAGAGAAGAAGATGGGGGCAGGGTGAGAATGCTGGATTTTCCCATTTGAATTCTATAGAAGTAGGAAATTTGCCAAATATTTAAGTTCAATACATATATGTATTCATTAAAGAAGTCTAAAAAGATTTTAAATGGAATGCATGCAGATTATACAAAGGATTGTAGGAAAAGGAGGAGGCTAGTTAGGGGGCAGAGTTGCATAGGGGAACATGGGTATCATAAATGGATAACAAGCAGGACTATGTGATGCTCTTTAACATCTTGCCCTTTTATTGCACTGAACTATGAGGAGATAGAAGGATAAGTGGACTTGTACTTCACACTGGGATCATGCCTTCTTCTGGGGCAGAAGGGACATTCCACTGAATTAATTCTGCAGAGGGTCCTGTAGTAAAATAAGCCCACAGTAGAAGCAGCTGATGCAATTCCTATTAAAAAAAAATCAAGCATGTGCTTTAACTAGTCCTGGTTTTTATAAGACCAGTGCTGGTATTAGCCAACCGTTGGGCTGAGTATAAGTGGGACCCCAAAATCTCAGTGATCTTTATTAGTGGAAGAGGGATTTTTTGTACCTGAGGGGTAAGGTCCAGATGAAGAGCATGGGAATGTTAGAATCCAGTCAATGCCTTCCATCACCCTGTTATTAAAAGATATTTCTGTTCTTCTGCTAGTCTATGAAGAGATATCCCTGTCGACAGTGTGAACGCTCATTTAATGCCTCCAACAGTCTGCGTAGACACATCCGCAATAATCACGACACAGCAAAGAAAGTTTATACTTGCTGGTACGTACTGAATGCCACTTTTCAAATTTGTTTTCAGCGACAAGGTAACCCTTCAAAGTTTGGAAGCCCTTTGTAATAGATTGTGTCTGCTCTTACGTACTCCAGGCTATAAGTTATTGAGGGAGAATAAGAAAAAGAGTATGTTAAACATGAGAGAATTGGTGTCTAAAATAAGTCCTTAATTTTTACTGCACAATGCTCTTTGGAAACTTAGGGTAAGGTTTGATTTGAGATCTGCAGGTGCAAAGCGAGAATTATATTGCACACCCTTGTGGAACAGCTAATAAAATACTGGGCCAATCTTTCACTGCTTTATGGTTGGTGTACTCATGCATCACTCTTGTGCCTTCCCCATGAAAAAATGGTACAAAAAGTGTGTAAAATCCTCATGAACCAGGGCACAAGATCTGCCACTGCTTTACAGAGGCAGAACTGACTGCACAAGCTGCAGGGCAATGGATAATTAAGCCTGCTGGATTTGCTGGAGAAGATGCACCTCAAAGTTGGAAAATGGATTTGGAGACTTCAGACGAGCTATGTAAATCAGCAGTGAATAAAAATCATTGCTGGTGAACATATTTTAACTGTGAATACAGTCTCAGTTCAGGACAAAGCCCAATGCTTACAAAACTGCCTCTACAACTGCTGCATCCTCATCTACTGTTGCAGAATAAGTCATACACTAAGCGACCGTGCAGACTTGCTTCCTGTCTCATTCTGAGACATCCTTTTGAAACAGAATTAAAGCACATTTGTGTTGGAAGGGAAGTTTGCTGTGATGTAGGTTGGAGGATTTTTTTTTTAACCAAAATTTTGGTTTAATGCAAGTGTTTCTGAAGAGCGTACTGTCACTTGACTGCACTTAAGTTGCTAAAAGCCTGTCTTGAAGAGTACATCCCTCATGTACTTTATTTCTTTGGACTGTCTAGTGAGCCACAGTAGCTTTTAGTAAATGGATGAAGTATTGGCATCACCACTGGGGCCTGATAGGAATACAGTCCTGGTGCATTTTTCAGCCAGGACTTCTAAACTTTCCATTTCTTGTAACTGTGCTTTGATTTGGAGAAGATGAAATGTTGACTCTGTGTATGTTTCATTCTGCTTTAAGTTTGTGGGTGATGGTCTTTGGAGTTCTGTGCACCTGATATGTATAAATCTGTTCTCTCAGTTGTTTTCAATGTGGAGTGTATCAGAATCAAAATGAACATAAGGCCTAGCTGGGAAGGATTTGTGTAGAACAACCTGGGATGTGCCAGCCTACTGTATGCATTAGCTTGTACAGGCCCTGGAGTCCAATTTTGGAGGATACTTTTCAGAATGACACACAGTTGACACAGTTGTGGATTTACACCTTCACCCAAGGGTCCTCGGTCATGCCATATTTACAGCAGAAGAAGACCCAGCTACAAATTCAAGTGAATTGTGCTTGTGTTTAATTCTCAAGTTTGTAGTTGCTCCTTCTCAAAATCTGTTGAAGAACTCTTAATTGGACTGTGGTTGTCTCTCTTTAATCATTGTAGTGGCAGACTTACGGAAATCCCAGCACTCTTCAAATGAAACCTTTTCCTTGAAATACTTGTCCCAGCATCTCCAAAAGCTGCGCTTTGTTTGCATGCAAGGTCTTCTGTCCAGTCTCCCTTTTAGCTTGTCCAGACCGCTGTTCTAAAAATCACCTCTGTGACTGCCACTCGCAAATGCGTTCATCTCTTTGAATTCCTCCTTGGCTCCTTTCTGTGCTTTGTAAGTTACCACATGTCTGCTACTCCTTTTCTTGTCTCTTGGGTGCTGGTGTCTGTTTTCTTTCTTCTCACCAGGCAGTTTGTATCAGTCTCACCCGTTTTCCCTTCAGGGTCTTTGGTGCCTTAACGTCATGTAACCCTCTACTCCTGGATTGCCTCATGAAGCATGAGTAAAATTTGTCATTGATCCAATAATTGAGTATTCTTGTGACTCCAGCATGCTGTCTTGTAGGTCACCTTCCTTGGCTTCTGACATTTCAAGCTGTGATTTCCCCTTCTCCCCTTGCCCTGCGTAGGTCTCTGCCTTCTGTTAAATTTGTAGGGAGAAACCAGTGATGGAGGACTTGCTTGAATACCCTCCTGCCACTGGAATAATTCTGGCTAGGAAAGTGTCTTTCTCTGCTCACATGAAAAAAATTCTGAATTAGGACAAATTGCAAAATATTCTGATGTTTTGTATATTTTCTTTCATAATTCACTTGGTTATTGTGATGGGAACTTGCTCTTGTTTTCCAAGTCTTAAGTACAAACTGTCTGGAACGATTTGATTTTCAACATGTTTCGTTTTGATAAATACCACTTAATAACCTCTCATTTTCCTCCATGAGGGAGAAAAATTCCATCATTATTAAATATTGATTTATCATCTAAGCAGTTCCTGTTAAAAACCAGAAGTATTCAGTGAGGACATCTGCATTTTCACATCACTACTGACTGTTGTTTAATTTCCATTTAGTTACTGGAAGATCAGTAGGAATCTTCTTTCCTTTTAAAAGATGTCTTTGTTGCCCAGAGACACTTCATCTCCTCTCTGTTGCTTTTCTTCCCTTGCTGCCTACATTTCAACTGCAATTTGTGCGTTTCAGAGAAGTCTGGTGTTACTTGCCTCATTGCTGGGGTCGATGCATAGCTGATGGACCTTCCCCATGTCACGCTGGCAGGCAGCAGCAGAGTACAAAGTCAGTCTTGAGTTTCCCAATTGCTAACGGAGACCTCTGTGTACTCCACCATGCTGCAGTGAGATGGTTTATTTGTCTGCAAGACCTGGCATTTATTTCCAGTAGACCTCAGTCATCTGGGAGTGAAGGTTAACAGATGGCATATCCCCTTCAACATCTCCTTTTGAAACATTAGCCATGCTCTTGGGCAGCTCTTGAATCCTACCAAGTTTTAACATGAATAGTTATGTATAAATAAATGCGTTCATGAGTGCTTCTGCCTAGGTTATTGCTATCAAAGTTGGAAGTTCAGCCGTTTTGTAAGAATTTTAAGTCTGTTACGATACATATGGTCTTGGATGGGAAGCTGCACCGGTGCTTGGGAGCGCTGGGTGCAGAACCTGGTTCTGCTGCAGGCCTCCTTGGTGTTAGCAAGTCACGAACAGGGCCCTCTGTGCGTAGGTCTCTCATCTCAGAGTCATTTTTCTCCCATGCTTTTTCCTTCTTGATTATTTATCTTGTGCTTGTGTAGTATGTATCACAGTGGGCCTAATCTCCACTAGTCCCTGTATTTATTTAGTACTGTACTGTAAATAAGACGTGCCCTACTTTCATTCTCATTCATGCTTACTGTGGTAAACTTTAAACTGTTCTAGATTTCTCTCAGGGGTAATGTTTTATTATTGAAACAATGATTTGCTGCATATTTTGGTAATCTAATAGTACATTACTCACCAGCGTCTGTCTCCAATGATACCCATTGGTTTGGCACAGAATGAAGAGCTGTTTGGATGGAAACGAACAGCTGGGCATTTCCTCTAATAAATTTTCTTCCTTTTTATATTTCCAAGGTACTGCACAGATGAAAATCAGACATTTCCTCAGCCATTCATGCTGGAGAATCACATCAGCCTCATGCACGGCATCAAAAACCCAGACTTATCCCAGATGGCCAAAGGAAAAGCTCCAGAGAGAGACACAGCAGAAGTAACTGATATATTTTCATTGAAAAATAAATGTACCTGGCGCGTAGCTGTTCACTTGGGGTGTTACATCAAGCTGTAGCCTTATGGCAGCCAAGCCCTCTCATCCATACGGCAGACTTCCTTCCCCTCCTCTCAACTCCATCCAGTTTGCTTCTCTCTGGCAGTATCAGGATCAGAACTGAAAGCGCAGCTGAGCTGGAGCAGCACCAGGACAATGTGTCTTGCATTTTGCAAGATATTCTTGAGCGTGTGTCCCTGTGCTTTACTGGCCTTTTTTCAGTCTACTTTGTAACCAGGTCTAATTTAGGTTTTGTTGTTTTCCCCTTCCACTCTGTTCATGAGCCTGGTACATTTTTCCTCTTTCTCCCTTGTTTTTTCTGCTAGTTACAAAAGATTTCTGTTTTAAAATACTTCCTAGATCCTTACATTACCTATAAGAACTATACTACTTATATTACCTGTAAGAACTGCATTCCTCCTAAGTAGCACTCTGCAATATTTTTCACTAAATGTAACTGTTCAACTAATTCTACTTCATGTTGTTTTGGAATGGAGGGTTGGCAGATTGGGCTTCTTTGCTCCGTTTACTTTAAAAATAGACATAGGTTTTCCATATCACTACAGTTAATTGTTCATCTGTACCGTAGCACAGAGGAATCACAGCCAAGACTGACTCCTCTCTGTATTTATGCCATAAGGAAACCTGGGGTAACTTAAGAATGCACTTCCATGAGCTGATGGCTGCTTGCCCCAAGCAAAGCCGATGTACCAGGGCACCCGGCTAAACGGGGGCAGACAGTGGCTTCAACATGTCTCCAGTTGGGTCTGCAAATACAAGCCTATAAGCTGTACCCTAAACAAAAGACTGCTCAGTGCTGCTGGCTAAGGAGATAACAAAATCACATGAAGGAGCATATGCAAGCGAGCCATACTCACGGGAGGAGAAGCACTCTGGGGGATTATAAGACAGAGATGAGTTAATGAGAGATGCCGTGAAGAAAAAGCCTGAGTGGAGGGGAAAATGTTGGGAATTAAATCTGAGAAATATTGTCTGGGCTAATGACCATCCCTGTGTCCCTCAGCTGTCCCTGCCCTGTGGGCTCCTCCTTCCCACACTAAGTTCACATTCTCCTTTCCCATCACGTTTCTGCCCAGCCAACCCCTCCCAGGTCTCCCATCTCACATCGCAGGACAGCAGTTGAGATCCTGCATGTTGGGGTAAGGTGTGTGGGTACTGGTAGGAAAGGCAATGTAACAGGAGTCCCTAGGCATGGCGTCATTTAGATTGTACCAAAATACTGATGTGTATTCACCCTCGGGTGTCTTCAGATACACGTGTGGAATTTAGCACTTACTCTCCCGTGGGCTCACACAATAAAGTAACTTATTTAAATCTTCTTTTTTTAAGGCAAAATCTCCAAAGAGGATGGCAACAGATGAGCTGGGTCAGGCAGAGACAGCTGCGGGTTCAGACGCGCCGCCAGCCAAAAAACTGAAAGCGCATTGGAAATGCGCTAAATGCGGATTTGCGACAGACATCAGTACTGAGTTTCAGGAACACATACCTCGGCACAAGACAGACAGCTCCACCTACCAGTGCTTGTTCTGCGGCTTGTGCTACACCTCTCACATCTCCCTGAACAGACACCTCTTCATTGTTCATAAAGTAAAAGATGAGGAGGAGGAGGAGGAAGAGGAGGAGGAGGAAGAGGAGGAGGAAGAAGAGGAAGAGGAGGAAGAGGAAAGGGAGAAGTTACAAAGGGAGATGAGTGAGAATGGACATGAGGGGTATAATGGCGAGATGAACACTACGGCGGAAGAAGAAAACCTGAAATGCAAAGAGTGCAAAAGTGACTCAGCTCTTTGTGAACACAGTCAGACATGTGGTGTGGAGGGTCCTAATAGCACCTCACAGAACAATCATTCAAAGTCTCTTAAGACTTAAAAACAAACAAAAACCCTTTTGGTTGGTCGGGGTTTTTTTGTTGGGGGGTTTTTACTCAAAATACAGGGTGGGGACGGGGCAAATCTTTGAAATATTCTGTTGATTTCTTGGGATGGACATTGCTTTCCGTTAACTTCTATTTGTAAGGGAAATTTAAAAAAAGAAAAAAACCCTGCCATTGCATCCTAAGCACTAACTCTCTGCCAGACCAGAGAGGTGAAAAGGGAAAGCAGGGCGAGAATCCTCACTGGAGCTTGTCCAACTCCTGAGGGTCCAGGAGCACTTTCTGCAGCTGCAGTTTCCTTAAGATGAGCTCTCTTCCTTCAAGTGTGCACTGCCTCAGCCTTTGCCCAGAGCCCCAGCCTTGCCTTCCCTGTCTTGCTTTCTTTCTTCTCCTATTTATGGCTTATTTTTTCTCTTCCCATCCTGCCTTTGTTTTACTCACTTTAACTCATAACACTGTCTCAGCAAAACACGCTTGTCAGGACTATGCTGGCCAATCCAGGATCTTCTGCGTTACACGGGACGGGTTCAAGCTGTAAGTCGTGCTGGTTTTTCTTTAATTGCCTGAATAACAACCTTATTTTCCAAAAGGCAATTTAATGAGATGTCTTGGACCTGAGTCATCCTGAAAGAGAATTTTGTAGCCCCCATCAGCTCGGGTGAGCACGGCTCAAAGCCACGTGTCATGTTAAGGAGGGCCTGGTCCCCCTGGGCACGTGTTGGCTGCGTGTCAGTGGAGTTGCACTGCTGGAAGGGTGAGCACAGCCGGGCCCGGTGCTTGGTGGCTTATCCCGGTGGGGAGCTTGGGCAGAGCCGGGTGGCAGGCGAGGAGTGCTGGGGATGGGATGCCACCGGCCCCAGAAGGGGAGAACATCCCCTGCCCCTGTCTGTGGCATCAGCTGGAGCGAACCGGTCCCAGCACTCCTGACAGCGTCAGCTCGGTGCCAAGGGCTCCGTGGCCGGCTCGTTTTGAGCTGCTGCAGCAGAGGAGGGGAGCACAGCCCGGAGGAGTGGGAACCGCCGTCCTGCGGGGGCTGGTGTCCGTCGGTGGCTCTTCTCCCACCGCGGCTCGGCGTTACCCGTCACCTGGGAGACGTTTCTTTCCACGTAGTCATATTGACTCTCTCTTCCCTCACTCGTTCCCCCACCACACACGCGCTTCGTGTAATATAATTATCTTCTATACCATTTTTTTTATTATGTTGAGCCAGAACCCTGCTCGTTATTGTTTACTATGACAATGTTTAAAATAATTTAAGAACTATTTATCTTATTGCATTCGGATCGCTCACCTTCTCGTCTCGACGTGTTTTGATACGAACAGTTTGGACTCTTTGTATTTTTTGATACGGTGTACGTTAGCCTAGGGGATGTTTTACCAGGTAGCCTACGTAGAGTTAAGGATTGTCATAGGGGATGTCTTCCCGGGTAGCCTACGTAGAGTTAGGGATAGCTGGGGGCACTCCCGAGCCATCACGTATCTATTTAACCCGCAGCGGCGTTTGTGCCTTGCTATGATGTTTACTTCAAAGTATTGCAAATAAAAGCATCCAAGGGTGCCTGCCTGGGCGTCGTTCTTGGCCGCCAT